CTTTCGAGCGGTCTGTCGGTCGGTCTGTCGCCCGTTCGGCCGCTCTGTCGGCCTGTCAGTCCGTCGTTCGAGCGGTCTGTCGGTCCGTCGTTCGGTTGTTCGGCCGGTCGCCCGGTCGTTTGGTCGATCTGTCGATCGCTCGGTCGCTCGGTCGCTCGGTCGCTGGGTCGCTCGGTCGGTCTGTCGGTCTGTCGGTCTGTCGGTCGGTCGGTCGGTCGGTCTGTCGGTCTGTCGGTCGGTCGTTTGGTCGGTCTGTCGGTCTGTCGGTCGGTCGTTTGGTCGGTCTGTCGGTCTGTCGGCCTGTCGGTCTGTCAGTCAGTCTGTCGGTCGGTCGTTCGAGCGATCTGTCGGCCGTTCGGCGCGCCCGTCCGCCCATCGCCTGTCAGCCGGTCTTTGCCAGGTTGGCTCTACCCTCTGTCCCCTCCCCCCGCTGCCCTACCCCAGCTGGCAGCGCCGGGCCACCTGGCCGGGCTGGCCGGGCCACCTGGCACCCGGCCGGCGCGAGCCCGGTCACGCGTGCGTACGGTCCGCCGACTGCGCAGAGGTCACGCCAGCGCGGCAAACTGGGGTTGAGCGGATTTGACGCAGCCAGAACGGAGTGGTGTACTGGCCCAAAGGTCACAGCATCAACCTATGTATGACTCCCTTGAAACCCGTCACTATCTCCCTGCCCTTCCCGCCGCTGTGATAGGCGCGAGAAGTGGGCTTAAATGTAGCCGTAGGGGCGATGACCGAGGAATGGGTCGGTTTTGGCACGCGCAGACTTAAACGAAATGTGTCGATTTCCTGTGCGTCAGAAGTCCTCACAACTAATATGAGCGAGGGTGAGCTTCAACGATGGGTTTTCTGGCATCAAGAGCTGGGCTGGGAGCCGACCCGACGTGTACCACCTCACATGGTAACCGTGACATTCCCATCTATAATTATCGAGCACAGGCCGTCTGCACGACACCGAGCGTGGCAGGTCAACGCTGTGCTCGGCTGACGCCGTAGCCTCCAGCGGTACGTGAACTAGCCGCTGTCGTCCTCCCGCGCATCCCGCACGGGGTGGGCCCATGCAGCTTGAGCGGGATGCGTACTGAACAGCAGCAGCGGGGCACCGCGCCTGACGCTGACACAACAGGCGCCTGACACTGACACAACGGGCGCCTGCCGCTGACACAACAGACACTTGATACCGACACAGCAGGCGCCTGACGCTGACACAGCAGACACTTGATACCGACACAGCAGGCGCCTGACACTGACACAACAGACGCCTGATACCGACACAACAGGCGCCTGACGCTGACACAACAGGCGCCTGACACTGACACAACAGGCGCCTGGCGCTGACATCAGGCGACTGACACTGACACGACAGGCGCCTGCTACTGACACAGCAGGCACCTGACGCTGACACAACGGGCACCTGTCACTGACACAACAGGTGTCTGACACTGACACGACAGACGCCTGACACTGACACGACAGACGCCTGACACTGACACGACAGACGCCTGACACTGACACAACAGACGCCAGACACTTGCAGGTACAGGGCGTTAGGAGAATGGATGACGGGGTTCTGACACGACCAAGCGACTGACCAAGGCACCGACTCTGCACGTGCTGCGGGCAATGTCATCAAACAGGTGTCACAGTAGAGCCAAATGGGAGCATCGCCAAAGCAAGATATGTCAGCTCGGCGAGTGCAGGTCGATCGGTTCAAACGTGAGCTTCATGACGTCATTCGTATTCGAATTTGTCTACGAGCGCACCCGTCGAAGGGCCTTTATCCCGGCGCCGGCAGTGATGCTGAGCGGTGCTAACGACTAGCCACCGGATCTCACAGGTCGCCCCGGTTGGCAACCAACGGCTTCGAGCTCGTACTATGATGGAGTACGTCCATCAGTCGCTATGCGGCTTAAACCATCTGCGCCGGCAGGAGGGGAACGTAATATCAACAGTGCCGTTTATGCTCAAGGCGATCGCTCTCCCTTGGCCGTTACGGACGACCTGCACGAAGGCGGGCACTAGCCGATGCCAGTGTTGTCAGTAGCACTGCCTTGAATGGAAAAGCCGGCGGAGGTCGCCACCAAGCGAGGAAGTCGGTACCAGGTAGCTGCTGGTCACCTTCGGTTTAGGTTGTTGACTTTCCGTTGCGGGGCTTAAATGGCCGCCGCCCAAAACATCTGCAACAGTGCCTCACAGACGGCTAGGCTGACGACGCGTGCGTGCAGGGCCAAGAAGATTCGCCATGTAGAGGGCGCAGCCCAGCGAAGCGGGCTAGGTGGGGGAGCGACCACTCTGTCATGCCCTGCACACGCCCTTAGAAGCTCGCGTCCGGGCTGGCGCTCGCCTGCACCCTGCCGCGCACAGGCAGCCTCCGAACGGACCAGCGCTTCGATAGCCTCCAGATGTATTGGACAGATGATGGGTAACATTGAAATCGGCTCCACTGTCATTTCTACCAGCGCACGACACAAGGGCGTCTCTGGGGCGCAGCCGGCGACGGCGCACACATAGGACTGGGCTCAGCGCTGGCGCCTGGCGCTGGCGCCTGGCGCCTGGCGCCTGGCGCTGACATCCGCTGTCACGCCGAGGTGACAGTCTCCGGTGAAGTCCGCTCCCAGCGGAAAGTGACAGTTCCCGCCAGCTGGCACTGGGCAGCGCGCGAAGTGATGCGATCATGTCATCCCTCTAAACGAGAGTAGGTTTGAGCGTGCCCCACCGAGACCTCCCGCGCGCCTCACTCTCAACACGAATCAAGTAATGGACTCACCCGCACTGGGCACTCCCACTGCTGCGCCAGCACCAAGCCACGAGCTTGACTTCCTCCGCGCGCACGTGTCGCACTCGCGCTCAGCGCCACAGGCGCTCCGAGTCCCGCCGGCTGCACCGCACACGTGAGCCGGCTCTCACCAGCATGCGAGCCACCACAGCCACCAGGATCGGCACCAAAGGCGCTGCCCCGGTCTGTCGATACGCGACGGGCCAGGCGGTGGGGGCCGACGGCGACCGCGCACCCCAGAGGCGCGTGACGAGCACAACAGTCATCGAGCGCACTTGGAGGCCGGGGATAAACGTGGTAGTGATTTAGGGACGTCCAAAAACCCCAGCCGCGCACGGCAGCAATGTCACGAGAATAGTCGTGACGGTTGAGGTGGAATGTTCGAGTCTGTGTGCGGCCGAGAAGCTGGCAATAAGCAGCAGAACGCGATAGCGACCAAAACAACTCACGTACACGGGCCCACACATTATATGAAACAACGACAACAAGCACGAAGGACACCAATACATACTGTTGTGTACGTGATTAGTCGCCCTCTGTCCGCCAACATGGTTATCGTCCTGTTGGCACGGAATATGTTCTAGCGATGTGGGAAATTTGCATGACTTCATGCCCATATGCTCCTGTGATTAATATACCCTAACTTGGTTAAAAAGGTCCATTTCGGTGTCCGAATAATGGCATAAATAGTTGACCTGAAAAGCCTTTGGTCTGCTAGAGATTAAATCAAGCCCGCGCAACATAACAATACAAATAAAACCATGGTCGACGTCTAACAGCAACATTCGTCGGCTCGCTGACGCTCCGCTCGCCAGAGCCCGGTCATCATCCTCCCAACACGGACACGTTCGTGCTCCCCTCCAGGCGCCATGACCTGGTCAGCCGCTGGCCGGAGCCGACCGTCGCCACAGTCCTGGGACATCCCGAGGCGCGACTCGACCCGCTGACAGCACCACCGCGGGCGGCGGCGGAGACCACGCCAGGCGATCGCCACCACAGCGAAGACGAGCGCCGCCGAGCTCACATCTGAGCGACGGCCGGGCTTCCTGTCCGGACACGGGCGAGCCGGCACCGCTGCGGGGAGAGGCGGCCGCGAGTGCGGGGCCGTCGCCCAGCACGGTCGCGCCGCACTCCAGCTAGGGCACCTACGGTGGCCCAGTCGCCCGCTGTCGAGGCCGGCCGGCGGGAGGCGCGGGGTCGGACGCCCGGCGCCGGCGGCGCGGCGCGGCCCGCCCCGGTCGGCCGCGGCAGGAGACGGTGGCGCCCCTAGCGGCCGGCGGCCGGCACGGGCCCGTAGGGGTCGTCCTCGTCCATGCTGGAGTCGCTGGTGTCCGCGTCGCCACTGTCGACGACGGCGCGCCAAGTCAGACACGAACGTCAGCCGGCGGCGGCTCGCCGGGAGACGCCTGGCACCGCACGCGGGCAGGGCGGACGGCGGTGACGCGGTACACTCGAGCTGTGGGAGGGGTGGGGATGACCGGGCGAGTGGGCGTCGCCCAGCCAGGCGGGCGCAATCCCGCACGAAAGATACCGGAGCCCCAGCCCAACCGGTGAGGACGCGCGTGCCGCACGCAGACCACGCGAAGATGGCAGGATAGGGAGACTCCGCACGCTGAAGAGCCGGAACGGACTGATGCACGGGGGACCATGCGCGGGGGACAACGCTGGTAAAACCGGACAAGGCGACACAGGGGGAGTCGACAGAAGACGACAGCAGCCAACAGTACCCAATGAAACCCCGACATCGTCCCCTAAAACCAGGAACGACATGGGGATCAGCCGACGAATACTTGCAAAATCGGATTACGGAAACAGCGTAACGCTGCAAAGGCGACCCTTTGTCCAATGCCACCATCTGGGATTACTCCTGTCCCACCCCACGGAAACCAAAAGGCACCGCGTGGAAGTCGTACCAATAGCCTAGTGAACCAAGTGCCGCCTTCCGCCACAACCCACAGGCCCGCGGCGCGTCCCACAGGCCCACAGCGCGACCCACAGGCCCACGGCGCGACCCACAGACCCACGGCGCGGCCCACAGGCCCACAGCGCGACCCACAGGCCCACGGCGCGGCCCACAGGCCCACGGCGCGGCCCACAGCACCCGAAACCGCCGCAGTGCGACGCTGGGAGCACCGCCACGCCGCGGCGCTCCCTCTCAGCCACTCACCGTGGCCAGGCGGTGAGTAGGCTGGCCTTCGGACGGCTGAAAAGCGTCATCACGTGGCAGTCAGGTATGGAGGCTCAGCACCGAAACGGCGCGGTGCGGCACGAGACACGGTGCGGCACGAGGTGCGCCCACGACGCACCTGAAGCGGGTCACGTGCACAGCGCGCACGGCAGAGCACGGCACGCACACAATCACGAACAGGTCATCGAACGCGTCACAGCCAAAGACAGGGTCGGCATCGTCCCGCAACGACGACGACGACGGCGGCTGCCGCCAGCTCCGCCGGCGCTGCAGACGTACCGACAGAGCACAATCGGAGGCGGCGGCGGCGGCAGCAGCAGCTCGTCCGGCGGCGGTATCGTCATGCTGACGCAAGGCGCCGGGGCGGCGGCGGCGGCGGCGGCGGCGGCGGCGGCGGCGGCGGCGGCGGCGGCGGCAGCGGCTGGCGCGGCTGGCGCGGCCCGCGACAGCTCCGCGGGGTCGAACTTGAGCGACGCTGTAGAGGGCGCCACAGAGAGTAAGCGGCGGAGCGGCGGGAACGGCTGTGTGGATTGGGCCGTGGGCGGATAGGCATCCATCGGGCCCGGGCGATCGCACTCGGATGCATTCGTCGGTATCAAACTGCGCCAGCGGTGTACGACCGTGACACGCAGGGCGACGGGGAGAACGTACGGGAAAGCTAAACACATCCTCTTGAGCAGGTATTTAAAGGCACGATTCAATAGCCACGCAACCAAGTATTGTCTGGATCTCAACCAATACGCACTCTGGTGCTGCCAATAATAACAAAGGTACGATATCACGTAAAACCCGAAAGACGGACAGCACTTCATTTTGAAGGCCTAGCCCGTCAGTGCCATCTATCCAACATTTCTCAAACTGATAGTTGGCAGTTTGCGCACCTGGATCCAGCGGCGCCACCTTCTGCGCCACGGCGAAAAGATAGCTGGCGGGCAGCGAGACGGGCACCGTGGGGTACACGCAGTCTGTTGTCGGCACCTGCAAACAGGGTAATTCAGCGCGCTGGCCGCGGCACACGACCGCCACCGTCCCGCGGTGCCCGCGGCAGAGCAGACGGCAGCAGCGTAGAGCGCAACAGGCCGCAACGCAGCCGTCATGTTCAACGCGGCGACGCGACACTCATCTCGCGTTGACCACGAGCGACGGTTGTTTGCGAAGGTTTTTGGAGAAGTCAGCATTCCTCCCGTGCCGAGAAGACAACGGAATCATTTAGACAAAATTGAACCTGCCACCGCGCCAGGTTGTGCAACACAGTGCAGTCTGATGCAACAAAACAAGGAAGAATGCGCTCGCAGTAACTGTGACAACGTTCACAACAATATAAGCTCTTCCATTCGCTCGCACCGAACTCACGTGGAGCGTCACTCACCTCGATACATCTCTCTCGAACTCTAAGACCCTGCCAGACCTCAACGTCACTCCTCCAACAAGCATCCCCGAAAGGCGCGAGCCAGGATGTGTCCGAGCCGCCGCGGTCTGCCCTGCCCGCCACCGCCGCAACGGCCTCCCTTCGCTCTCACCTGTAAGCGCAGCAGCCGCAGCAGGCGCAGGAACACGGCCGAGTTGACGGCGCGCACGTGCGCCTTGGCCAGCGGCACCAGCGGGCTGGGCTTGCCGTGCAGGTGGCTGAAGAGCGGCACCGGCTCGACGTCGGTCGAGGACGGCCGCATACGCGCCAGACACACCTCCAGCAGCTCGCGCTGCAGCCAGCTCAGGCTGGCGACGCCCAGCTCACGCCGCGCATAGTCTGCCGCCGGGCCAACCCCGATTAGTGGCAGCCGGCGGGACGGGCTCAGGACCGGCGCCGGGTCATGGCGCAAGCCCGAGCCAGACGACAGAGTGCATGCAGCGCATTCAGTGCGGGAGGCGAGACACTGCTAGGACGTCCATTTGAAGGACAGAGCGCAGGAGTTGCTCACGTTCTCAGACTTGTGAAACGTGCGGCTTATGCTGTCCCGAACGCATCCTTTTCGGCAAAATCCCGATGTAGTTGTGAAATGATATGTTCAAGTGCCCATATCACCGCCAGAGCACAGGGACTCAACAATATTCCGCAGCATCTTCCGAACACATCTGCTACCGAAACAAACCCCAAACTTCCGCCCAGGGAGCGGCGGCACGCCGGCGGGCAGCGCCGGACACGCCGGGGCCGCGCCGGACACGCCGAGGCCGCGCCGGACACGCCGAGGCCGCGCTGCGCCACTGACCGATCAGGAAGCCGACGGCCGGGTGGTCGAGCAGCTGGCGGCGGGCGGCCGGGTCCGTCAGGTCCAGGGCCGGGCTAGCCCACGTCCTGTCCGGGCTCTCCGGCGTCGACTGGGGGCAGCACGGGTGACCGGTGACGGTACACGCGTCACGCGCAAAAGGAGGCTGGAACGCACGGCCGACGCGTTCTCACACGGGCCCACGCGAGCGCAGTTTCTGCGCACGAGACGAGTGACGGCCCGTCGGGTGGCGACATCACCGGGTCATTCGTCAGAAATAACCGTCGGGTGGCGACATCACCGGGTCATTCGTCGGAAATAACCGTCGGGTGGCGACATCACCGGGTGATTCGTCAGAAATAACCGTCGGCTGGCGACATCACCGGGTCATTCGTCAGAAATAACCGTCAGCCATTCAGCACTGCACAGCTTCCAGCGGCTGTAAACCTCCAACATTGCACGAAAAATCCCCCAGCCCACCAAAGCGTAAGGTTTAGTTCAATCCAACCCGGCTACGTCCAGTTCAACTTTGCTCCAGCTCTAGCTCCAGCTCCAGCTCCAGCTCCAGCCCTAGCCCCAGCTCCAACCCCATCTCCACATCCCGCCTCATCTTCAGCCCCAGCTCCAGCACCATCTGCAGCGTCAGCAGCCTCACCTCGTCGTCGCCACCGTCGACCAGCCGTTCCCTGAGCTCGAGGTACTGCTGCGGCGACACCAGCTCGAGGGCGCGCAGCTTGTCGAGCGCCCAGCGCGGGCTGACAGTGACACCGCTCTCGCGCTGCAGCTGCCCACAGGCGGCGGTCAGCCGGCCGGCGCCGCCCACCAACAGTCGCTGCAGACTCTCCGAGACGGCCTCCTCCAGACAGAGCACCGGGCCGCCGCTGGCCAGGAGGAGCACGATCAGGGCGGGACACAGGGCGGGAAGGGACCAGCACGGGAGCACAGACACACGCGGAGTGGACGTGTGGTGGCAACACATCCCCACTCAAAGAACGGTACATGAACTGAGGCCATAACCACAACACTCGCGGCATGATGACGACCCCCTCCACCACACAACGAAGTGAATACTGAATCCGGCCGCCGGTTCTCGCAACAGCTACAGAGGCAGCACCTCCCAGCGCTCGCAGCCGGGGAGCACCGACGCCGGAGTCGCAGTACTCACAGCGTGGAGGATCGCGCTATGGAGGCGTCCGCCGGAAGGGCGGCGCGCCCAGGACCCCCCTGTTTCTCGATGAAGCGCTGGATAGTGTGCTCAATCAGCTCCAGCCAGTCCTGCGACCGGAGGTCACGACTGGTCAGCGGGGCGGCGATGGCAGCGGCGCCGCCAGCTCGCCGCCGAGGCGATGGTGCACCACACCAGTGGCGCGGCCGAGCCGGGCAAGGACTTCGCACAGAGAGCCAGGACAGCCCGGCCACCAGAGGGCAGAAACAGGACGGGACGCTGTGGAGTGTGTACGGGGAGTGCCGAGGTGCCGCCCCACACACTGGGTTGCAACCACAGCACATCAGGACACAACACATCCCAACACAACACATCACGTCACGACGCGTCACGCCACAACACAACACATCACGCCACGACACGTCACGTCACAACACATCACGTCACGACGCGTCACGCCACAACACAACACATCACGTCACGACGCGTCACGTCACAACACATCACATCACGACGCGTCACGTCACAACACAACACATCACGTCAAGACGCGTCACGTCACAACACAACACATCACGTCACGACACATCACGTCACAACACAACACATTGCGCCACGACGCGTCGCGTCACAAAAAAACACACCACGACGCGTCACATCACGTCACGTCACGACACATCACGTCACGACGCGTCACATCACAACACATCACGTCACGTCACGTCGCAACACATCACATCACGTCATGACACGTCACGTCGCAACACGTCACGTCATAACACATCACGTCACGACGCGTCACGTTACGACACAACACATCACGTCACGTCACGACGCGTCACGTCACAACACATCATGTCACGATGAGTCACGTCACAACACAACGCATCACGTCACGACGCGTCACAGCACATCACGTCACGACACGTCACGCCACGTCACAGCATGTCACGTCACAAGCCACGTCACGGCACATCATGCATCACAACTCAACTCAACACACCGCAATGAAACCCAACGGATGTAAGCTAGGAAGGCGCTGAACCCCTAGCTTTTGGGCACCATAGGTTCGGGGTTTTTATGCTGACAATCTTGAGCCTTAAATAAACCAGGAGGACTGAATGAAAAAGACGGGCAGATTTCAGACTCATATAGACTCCCCCCCCCCCAGCCCCTTCTCGTAGATTTTAGCTGATCGGCCTCAGTCTGAAGTCTGAGAGTGGCGGCAGTGACGCTATATGCTGACACACGCTGCTAACACGCTGTACGCTGCCGTACGCTGACACACATGTACAAACACGCGTACAAAACAGTGAGCACCGAAACCCTAGAGAACAAAACACAGAATCCTGATGACAGCGACAAACTGTAGCAGTCACGCCAACAACGGTACACACACCAGCGTGTTCCAGTCCACGGCAAACTGTAGCAGACACGCCAACAACGGTACACACACCAGCGTGTTCCAGTCCACGACAAACTGTAGCAGACACGCCAACAACGGTACACACACCAGCGTATTCCAGTCCACGACGCAGACTAGCCGCAGCCAGACCTGCAGCAGCGGCAGCTCCGAGGTCACAGACCTGCAGCAGGGGCAACTGCGAGGTCAAGATGTCGGAGAAGATCCTCAGCACGGACGGCTGGATGAGCAGCTCGATCCTGCCCACGTCGCCCGCCACGTGGTGCAGGATGGTGAAGATGGCGTCGTTCAACACTGGCGGGTTGGTGGCGTGGAACCTGAGCAGGTCGGTGTAGTGCTTGATGACGCCTGGTTCGGCGAACCTGGAGCACCGGGCGGGCACCGAGTCAGACGGAGGTTGAAGCAGGCACCTCGTCACACATGGAGCTGACGAGGGGCACCGCAGAGGTGGGTAGGGAAGGCCAAGGGAAGAAGGACAACCGCGAAATGAGGAGGGAAAGGCTGACGAGAGATACCGGGGAGATGAGGAGAAGAAGGCTGCCAACGGGCGGCGGGAGATGAGGGGAAGGCTGACGAGGGACACCGGGGAGATGAGGAGAAAAAGGCTGACGACGGGCACCGGGGAGATGAGCAGGGAAAGGTCGACGAGGGGCACCGGGGAGACGAGGAGAAGAAGGCTGACGGTGGACACCGGGGAAATGAGGAGCGAAAGGTCGACGACGGGTACCTGGGAGATGAGGGGGGGAAGGCTGACGAGGGACACCGGGGAGATGAGGGGGGAAAGGTCGACGACGGGCACCGGGGAGATGAGGGAAAGGCTGACAAGGTATACCGGGAAGATGAGGAGGGGAAGACTGACGGGTGTCATTCCTTTGGTAATGCGGTGATCAAGGCCAAGTAAAATATAAGTGTCGCGTCATTCATATCTGGCGTTCGTGAACACGATTTCCGACTATCATGGCCGTCATGTGGCTCTCAATCAATGTTATGCCAGGTACGATGATGTTCCCCGTGATTGTTCACAACACCTGCCCCCTGACTGCCTCGCGCCTCCAGCCGTGGATCGGGCGTGACCAGGCCGCCCACCACGCCCAAGTTACCACCGACTCTTCCCCCCCCTCCCCCCCCCCCCCCCCACCCACACACACACCGGCTCGTGTCGGAGTGCAATGAACAAGCTCAGCACGCAGGTTCCCGAGTCAGGCTTGTCGCATACGGACCGATTCGGTCTCATGCTTCGTGGTATGCATATCTCATATGCTGCACGGCATGCCAGCAGCAGTTTTCCGTGTGAACAATGAAATATGCGATTTAAGCTAGCGCGGAGAAGGAGTATGAGTATGGGAAAATAGAACAATATAAAGTGTTGAATTTTATCATCTATGGCATGGACCCAATGAGCCAGTGTACCAGCATATGATGTGTCTTGCATCCCTTTTAACATGAGTATTTGACACTCAAGTACAATGTTTGAGCAAGTTCTGACTCGGTCCCATTATAGTTTCCAAAGACAGCAAACAACTCACATTCCAAACCAACTCTGTTGCTTGCAAGCTTGCCTGCGCCTGCAGCAGCGGCCTACAGCCACAGGTCCGCGTCGCCGGGTCGCCGATCGATGGGCCAGCATGCGGGCCGGTCGCGTGAGTCGACACGTGCGCGCCGGGCACGTGCGCGCCGGACACGTGCCGCCGCCTCATGTTTACCCGGCCGTCGGCGCCCCCGGGCCGCCCTTGGCCGGCGCAGGCCCGGGGCGCGGCGGCGGCGGTTTCGCCGCACGTGCGGCCCACTCAGCAGGCGGCCGTCGGGGGGGGGGGGGGGGAGTTCCACAACAGTAACGCCGCCACAAAACTCTTACCGGCCGGAGTGCTGCGACGTTACTTCTACTGCCAGTACATATACACGACATTAGTGCTGCGCGACAAAACTTATGCTGCAGAATCTTATACCCGTCATGTCATTGCTTCTAGTGCAAGCACTTTAAGTCATTATTTATACGCGAGCTTACACCTACTTCAATTACTTGCAAGTGGCATTAGCGCTACGCGGTAAAGCTCATACCTAAAAATACTTATACTTCAGAACAACTTATACCAGTCATTGCCTCTACCGCAAAAACTGTAAGTAAACGGCTATACATGGCATTCGCCTTATTGCAAAGTTTTATAGGCGACATCAGTGCTTCAGCAAAGCTTTGTGGTCAAGCCTCTGCGGTATAAATAATGACGATTATAAAATTTTCCGTGATCAGTTTTGTCGTGTAGCACTCATGCCGTATATGAGCGTTTGCAGTAGAGGTAATGTCGTGTTTAAGTAAAGTCTAAACAAGTTTTTGTGCCGGCCGTGATGTCGGGTATAACTAATGCCGTAGCACTCCTGTCGGCAGGGGTTTCTGGGGTAGCACCAATGTCGTGACACCGCTGGAAGAGCGAGCTGGACGGTGGTCGATGTTGCCATGGAGAATGTAGCGGCAGGCAGGCCCACATGAGTGAGCTGCGGGAGACCGACAGGCCAACTGTGATCAGAATAGCCTGAGGGGGGTGGGGTGGGGGGGGGGGGGAGGCAGATAGATTGCTTGCTGTCCGGCAGGGGCCGACGAACTGCTGCACGAGTTTCAGAAACCCCAGGCCTCCGTTGTGCTGCTAATGGTATCAGTAACTAACTGCCGCTGAACCGCAGCATCGAAGGAGTAGCTGATGAAAGCATGGCGCCTACCCAAAATTTGTCTAATTGTATTTTTTACAGAAGGGACACCACCTTCTTGTTTCCATGGCAGTTTTTCGACCCGAAGAATTCTCAAAGGATTAAAATAACAATACAACGAACAATTCTTATAATAAACAAGAGAGCTAATGCTATTTTGCGTTTTGTCTTCGGTCGCAGCGGTATGGACTAGAACGTTACCGACATGAAAACAAGCACCATTATGGTGTACCCGTTTCTGATGAAGCCGTATCAAGCCAAATCAAATGAACCATGGGGTCTTCCGCAACTTTTCGCGTGCCTCTCTCAAAAACTTTCTTGGTAGGTCCAATCTCTATCTTTTAAGGCTAGAAAACATCGGATTTCTATCAAGGATGGATGAAATGTTTCATATTCAGCTGAGCCTTTTTAATATTCCATAGCATGATTAGTTATAACTGTGCTACAAAAAAGCAAGTAAGCGATTTCTGGATGAAAATTTCTCTGCGATGAGCTTACGAAACTGCTCAAAATTGCTCTGCAAGGAGTTCGTTAAAATTGTTCTATAATGAGTTAACGACACTGCACGCGAGTCGTTTCATCAGACGTACTCTACAATATGACACGAACACACACACACACACACACACACACACACACACACACACACACACACACACACACACACACACACACACACACACACACACACACACACGCACACGCACATGCACACGCACACGCACACGCACACGCACACGCACACGCACGCGCACGCGCACGCGCACGCGCACGCGCGCGCGCGCGCGGACGACGTACCCTCTTCGAGTTAAAGAGAGCCATGTCATGTCAGGTCATGTCGGGTCAATCGTCTTCCATTCACGCTGCCGCGAAATCTGTCGTCCGATGTCCGCATCCAGTAGTTCAATATCCTCATACTAAGTTAGCTTTTATGCCAGCTAGTGACCTTACAAATTCACCTATAGCTTTTCAATAAAGTTGCTTAGTTACAACAGTTACCAACGCCCGTAAACGCTTCAACTTTTTAATTTAGCCCTTTTACCAACTTGGCTGTGTCAGAAACTTCGACATGGCTCGCTGTGCCTGATTTCAACCCAACGTTCACATGAGAAACACGGTGGGTGGGGGGTAAGTGGTTAAGTGCGCTTGCAAGCAACATTATGCATACAGATAAGACGGTGGTAGTAGCCTTATTTCTCGTAGGAAAAGCAAGAGAATGAAGAGACATATGCGTTGATATTTCGGCAACATGCGTTTATCGAAACAGATATCTATCTCAAAAACATTTTTTTTCTATGATGCAATGAGTTCGTGATAAACGAAAGCCGACATGCTATGACGGTCAACGGCGACAAAACGGATGACAGAGCATGCTCAAGCGAACTGATATTCGTTTCGACAAAGTATGTTGCCGAAATATCGACGCATCTATGTCTTTATTCTCCGTCTATTTCTCAATTCTCCGGGTTTTTCGATGAGGAATAAGGCCACCACTTATGTCTTGATATGGAAAGGGGCTCAATATCAAACACTTCCGAGCAGGGAAGAAGTTTCCCTTCATGCGTGGCACTGACGAAGATCCTCGAATCCAGGTTTTTCTGTGGTGTTTGTTTGGCAGCGTAGCTTGCGTTTTTTGAATGGTTTTGCTGATGGCGTCCGAGTGGCGCCAGTGACTTATGATAATACAGCAATGAGAGTGAGCGGCTTTTAGCAGGAAGAATGGCAAACACAGCCGATACACAGATCCTGAGATAGCACTAAGATAACTCATCCAGCTAGTGGGAACAAGCTCACTTGGCGTTTGTCAGGTATCACTTACGCAGTCCAAGGAGTTCACAGTAAGACGCGGACGGGAAGGATAGATGGTGACAATTGCTCTAACAAGGCATGCATTTTGAATGGATATGCTTAAAGAACCTGCATCTGCGAGAAATCATTAACCTTTAATTAACGCACTCACTGCACAACCAATAACAATTAACCTCTAATGCAACCACAGCCCCCAGAATTGATCCTCCCTTGTCTGCGGCCGTGTTCCTGACTGGTGTTCAAACCTCCTCTCACCTTGTTTTACAAGGAGTGTTCCACATTTATATGAGGTTTTGCGCTGAAATAACCATCTTGAAGAACTTGTGGTGCTGCTCACAATTCGGTCTTTATTAAGGCCAAAGCTCCTCTAGTTTCACGCCCGCGAAAAAGAGAAAAGACAAAAAGGAAAGAGTGTTTCAAAGTCACTTTGGGATTCATGACATCATAATGCCATTACTCAAATCCTGCCATTCCATAAGCCATGCGGCGATTAGGGCCAATAAAATAGAATTGTCCAGCGTTCATATCTGGCATTCGTGAGCATAATTTTCAGATATAACGGCCGCCAATTGGCCCTCGATCAGTGTTACGCAAGGTACGACGACGTAATCAAACTACGACGCATTGTGGAGCATATTTACTAAACAGAGAACTGTATTGTCTTTTAGAGCAATCTTTCCCGCCTAAAAGTATACTGATGGTTATAAATGAGCCTGTTTCATCATATATGATGCTTGTTTCATTATCTTCCAATGCAAATCATTCTCTCTAACAGTGAAAGCTGCGCGCGTCTCTTAGTAACCTTATTATCTGGGGCTGATACCTCCCAGTGTTTCAGATATATAACGCAGTGCTAACGTGGTAGTAACAGTGTGCCAGAGAAAATATAATAGACCTTGACGCACTGTGGAGTTTATCTACTAAACAGAGAATTGTACTGTTTTTTAGAGCAGTCTTTCCCGCTTAAAAGTATACTGATGGTTATAAATGAGCCTGTTTCACCCTATACGATGCTTGTTTCAACATCTTCCAATGCGAATCATTCTCTTTAACAGAGGAAGCTGCGCCCGTCTCTTAGTAACCTGATTACCTGAGGCTGATACCTTCCAGTGTTTAAGAGATATGACGCAAAACTAGCCATGTTTCACTCGAAAATGTCTCAGCTGCGGCGGCTGTTTCATTTGCGGAAGGCTTCCACTCAGCAGTAGTCAGTCAACTTTTTCCGAGCTAAAGAAGAGATTAAGCGGTTGTTTTCTTAGGAGATAAGCACTGCCTTAGTGAGGTTTTGATTCTACTAAAAACTTATAGAGGACCCCTGAATTCGCTGCAGAGGGAATCACGATAGGTTACAATGGTGGCAGTGTTCCTTTGACGGGACCCCGCGCAGCGTTACGTATTAGCGACCCCCCCCTCTGTGGTATTCGCAGACAGTCGCGGTGTACGGGACCCCGCGCAGCGTTGCGGATTACCGACCCCCCTCTGTGGTATTCATAGACAGTCGCAGTGTCACCCGGTCATTCCCAACATCTCTCTTGTGACCACTTGACCAGCCGTTCGCTTGTTTTTTCCAAATTGTCTGCGAAATGTTCCTTCCTTTTCACCAGCGGAAGAAACGAACGGCTGACAAAATAAGGAAGAAGGCAAGACCAAGAAGGAAGACAAAAAAAAGCACAGGAGATGCCATAGCTTGCGGCGTGGTTCGTATGCAAGTCAGTTCTTCTTAGCATAGCTCGCCGGTTACGGCCTCAGCCTAGTTGTCGAAAATAGAGACCATGCCATTAGAACGCCAGGCATGAGAAAGCAAACCACACGGCCGGGAGCTCCTAAACTGGCTTTGGGCTCACGTGCCCGGCAGCCCCCCCCCCCCCCCACCGTTGCGTACGGCTCGCGGAAGACGGACACGGGTCACGTGACCGCCGTCTCGGCCCGTCACGTGAACAACACTCCGGCCCTTCACACGAGCACCGCTCCGACCCGTCACGTGGGCACCGTCCCGATGCGTCGTCAAGTGAGCACCGTCCTGGTTCGTCACGTGAGCACTGTCCTGATCCGTCACACGAGTAGCACCGTCCTGGTCCGTCACGTGAGCACCGTCCCGGCCTGTCACAAACACCGTCCTGGTCCGTCACGTGAGCCCGGTCCCGGCCTGTCACATGAACACCGTCCTGGTCCGTCACGTGAGCCCGGTCCCGTCCGGTCGGGGCCACGATCCTCCTGCAGGCGCCTCCGGCCGCGTGCCGAACACGCTGGCAGTTGCCCACCCCCACCCCCCTCGGAGTCCCGGCCGTTCGATCGGGTGGCCGCGCACGTGACCGGCGCGCACACTGCCACGTGACCCGCATCGATTCGACGCGGAGAGACTCGGCTTTAGGCCGGGTCCCGTGAGAGCCCCGGCCTAAGAGAACAAGCTACAGCGCTCAACACATAATGTGTCCGACGTACAAGCTGTCCAAGGGACCCTCCACAATTTCCGTTTAGCGTGGAGGATGGAGTGTAAACGAAGGGTAACAAGAGGGATGCTACTCTGGAGTTTTTACCCAGCGCGACCAGTGCGCTATCAGGAGGAGGCGGTTAAAAATTGCTAAAAAATACGTAACGCTCTTTATGGTCAGTCCCCATTAACATAATATCCGAAGTACAGTATGTACAAGAATTATCTTCAGCGTGACCGCGTTTTACCTGAAGAGCAGGTGGCTACAACCAGCGTCCCAGAACGGCCCAGCGACACGGCGTCGATTCCGCTAT